TATATATATATATATATATATATATATATATATATATATACCATATTGACTATGCCTCCACCAAGTATTGGTAGGAGACATTAATAATGAAAAAGTGAAAGATAGATTGCCACCTTCTGTTAACATGCTTAATTGCCATATATTGTAATAATCTTCAGGATATTTTCTAGCTATAACTGATACCATGTGGGTTTCTAAGAGGAGAAGCCAATAACATTGAGGGAAAAGCCATGGAAATCTGAGATGGGTACATAGAATAGACATACAGATGGTGCTCTAGAAAGAGCCTTCAGGAGTACTACACCATGGGAAGCTTATATCAGCTCCATTCTGAGCTTGGAAGTAATCAATTAATGAGTTACTTTTAATTAGTTTCCCTTCGCAATAAGTTGGGTGGTAAAGTACTACAAGATAATTTCTTTTGCAGTATAACTGCATTAAAAACCATGAGGTTCATGAATAAAAACAAACAAACAAAAAGCCCCTAAAATTTGTCTAAGGGGTCAACGTTTCATGTTCTTCATAATGAAGAGTTTGGCAGAACCCCAAATCTTGCCACTTTTCTGACATTTTAGTGTTTTTGCAACAATTTTAGTTCCTTTTAGTGTGTGGTTTCGTCACCAATTAGGTGTGCTTTATACCATAGCCTTGTAACATTATGATTCTTTTTTAAAAATAATGTTACTTTCAAATAATTAGGATGTAAGAGTTTCTATCTGCATGTGCGTGCATATATGATAACTTAGCAATTTCTGCCTTCTTCAGTTGCGGAGAACAAAAATCAGTTGTATCCAAGGTGAAATTTAGAACACTGAGCTCACTTTCGTTTTCAGCAACTGGAGAAGGCAGAAGCCAAAATGTTTTCCTAATTTATTTATTAAATTCTGTTTGTTAATCACTCTAATAAATATGTATTTTCAGTGATTAACTGCCTCCTTCTGGGATCCAGAACAAACTTGTAAGAAGAGCAGCTTATTTGTTTTTTAAAATATTTGTTCCTGAGATATATATATATCAGCCACTAACTACTTCGGGGACCTTGGTGTTGGAGCTAATTGCTTTTTTAAAGTAAAATTCCAAGCCCTTGGGGATTTACTCAGTTCATCTATTTCCCAATTGCCCCAGTTATCAGTTATTCTTACTGGCACCAGCTCTCGGAGGTCCAAGGCAGAGCTTTTCCCCACCTTCTGTGCCTTAATCCTTTTTCTTTTGTCCCATTTTTTTTTAAAGATACCAGAGAGTGAACTTGCAAATATCTGCATGTAAGATGCATGCTTCATCTCTGAGCTACAGTTCCATTTTCAGTTCATTCCTTACCCTTTTCACTTTTAGCTAGAGGAAAAAGCTCTCCCTCCACCCCTCTATATCTGAAACAGTCAATTTGCTATGAGATTAGGGATACAAACATCTCTCTGTCTCAATTTCATTACATTTATCTGAATTCCCCCTTTTCCCTTCTCTTTGTGTCATATTGGATTATGAAACTTTCCTCCTTCATGGACATTCAGCTACATATTGAAACTTGTTTTTCCTAAGGTGCACATTTATTTGTTCATTCCCCCTTGTACACATTTTTGCCATGGACAAAAATGGGTCGAAATCATGGGGCCTGAAGATGTTGATGGAGTGCAAATTTATTGAAGGCTCATTTAGATTGTTCATCAATCTTCTTCCAGTTAAAAATTCAAGACCATTGGACTTTCACATCTATTACTATAAAACTGCATAGACTATCATTGGAGTCCCATAGCACCTTTAACTTAATGTGACTTTATATATACTTACTAAGTAGCAGAGGTGCTAAGAAAACCTGCTAGTGAATTGTGAGGATACATATTGAGTGTGCATGATATGCATCAGTGTATGATGTGCTTTGTTGTGTAAGTCAAAGATATGGCCATGTTAGTCTGTAGAATCAGTATGCATAGAGATCTGAGGAAATAGACTGAAGTCTACAAAAGCTCATGCTGCCAGCTTCTTTATTTCAGTTAGTCTCAAAGGTGCTGCAAGATCTCTCTATATACTGATTTGTTGTGCAATGTACATTAGTACACAATGTTCACTGGGCAATTGACTGGTTCTGCTAGGTAGTAATGTAACAGCAGCCCTCTACTATACATGGATGTTATGAAACTGACCAATTCTAATTCCTGCATATGTAACTCCACTTATGAAGGTGTAATTCCCATGCAAGATTCCAGCCTATGTATTTATTATATATGGGCTATTGATTATTTGTTACTTCTACTGTAATTTTTAAAACTCTCCAGGTCTTTTACTTTGGGAAGTATTACTGGGAAATTGGGAGCCAACATGGTGCAGTGGTTTGAGCATTGGACTATAACTCTGGAGACCAGGATTCAAATCCCGGCTTGGCCATGGACAGCCACTGGGTGACCTTGGGCAAGTCACACAATCTCATCCTCAGAGAATGGCAATGGCAAACCCCCTCTGCCTGCCAAGAAAACCCCATGATAGGTTTGCCATAGGGTGTCCATAAATCGGAAATGACTTGAAGGCACATAACAACAACAAAAGGCCTTTTAGTGCTGCTTCTCGGGCTTGTACAACAAGAAAGCTCACAGGACAGTGGCCCAAACCAATTTATTAAAATATTTTTGCTCACTCTTTTTATTGTGAGATATCAGGATGGCAAACAAGTAGAACAATATAAATAATTCCAGATCAAAAGCATTCAACAATTTAAATGAGAAAAAAAGCATATTAAAGAACCACCTAAACATTAAAGAATCCACTTAAACATTAAGAAGAATTTCTGGATGGTAATTGCTGTCCAACAGTGGAACATGCTGCTGCAGAGTATGGTGGAGTCTCCTTCTTTGGAGGTTTTTAAACAGAAGCTGGATGGCCATCTGCCAGGAATGCTTTGATTGTAGTCGTCCTGTTTGGCAGGAAGTTGGACTGGATGGACCTTGAGGTCTCTTCCAACTCTAGGATGATTTGATTCCAAGTGGGGAGTCACAGTCAAAAAGGTCCTCTTCTATATCCACTACCATTGCATTGCCCTCATTAGTTGGGCATCCCTTCCCCTCCTTTCAATCATGGCTTTTTGGTGTACTGACAATGTACAAGCATAAGATACATATAAATACCTTCAGCTGAACCAGTGTCTTCTGGTGCCAATTAGAAATGGGAAGATGTGGGTGACCAGGCTTTAAAGCCATACATAAAAATTAATCTCTTCCCTTTTCCAGTGCCAGGGCAATCTCTCCCAGTAGACCTGGAGATTTCAGACCTTGAAATCTGAAATGAATAGATTTCAGATTACACCTTGAAGGATGGCAACTCTAGCTAACAGAAACATCCCAGCCTTGGGGAGCCAATTAGCACTTCTAGGAGGAAAAACCCATAATCCTGATTGTGTCCATAGATAATGAAACAGTGTTGTACTGAAATTCACTGGCTTCATACTAATGCTTCCTCTTGAAGGTTAGCTGCAGAGGATCCTGGGAAGTTGAAATGTTCTCCTGCTGATTTTCAGTGCACTCTTGAAAGAATCAAAGTAAACCCAGTCTCACACCACTCTAACATTTTCTCATTGGGCAGAGAAGAAGGGAGTAATGCAGCAATATGTATTAATGTCTGTGGTCAGATTCCCTCCACAATGTCAACCCCTGGCAATCTTCCACGTTGGGCCAATTATGTGAAACATAGAAGTCAACAACAACAAGTTCATAAATTCAATATCTGCTAGCAGGGGTTCTTTCTGGAAGCCTGATAGACTTTATTTTATTTTTTTTAAAGGCATGACTCCCAGGAGAGAACAAAATGGCTGAGCCTGATACATCAATTCACTCACAAATGAATAGATGTTCCCAAGGTGCAGCGGGCAGAACTCAGGTGAAGAAGGAGAAATGTAGTCCTCATCTGTTATTTTGACCTTTTGCAAAGTTTAGCTTGAGTAAAGTGCACAGAGGTGAGTGTGTAAAGAGCATTGTGTTAGGAAGGAATACAATGGATCTCTTACTGATCAGTCTCTGCATATAAAGATTAAGAGAGTCAAAGAATTTGTGGGCATTCACTAGGAGCTATTGAATTCACTTTAAGATTATTCCCCAATACCTCAAACACAATGATTGAGACTTTCTGTAAACCTGCAATTGCTCCTAAGGGTCTTATTTTATGCTGCTCTCTCCTCTCCACCTGTATGTTAAATTCTAAAGGAAAACAGGTATAGTGAAGGCTATCACATCTTAAATCAAGTATATAGTAAGGATAAGAATGAAACATGGAAACAGTATGATTGGATCACCCAACTTCACATTCATTTTAAGTAGAGTGTGTGTATAAATGGAAAGCATGGGTGTAACTGTGGGAAAGAAGAATTAGGGCATTGCTCCCACTTAAGAATTCTGCCCCTCCAATGAAATTTTACACGACTTCCCAAATTTCTAGTATTGCAGTAACCTAAAACCTCAGCAGAACATTTGGAAATACAGCTTAAGTATCCAATATACAAAGTTGTCAAGGTAGTGCAAACACAGTCAGTATAAACATTTCAACAATTTTCAGTGTCTCATCCTCCACAATGTTAGAAATCTGAAATACTCATTTTCTGCCCCCACCCCCTGGTCAAGGGGATTAGTTTCTCATTTTGGGATTTGGGGTGTGTGTGTGTACATGTGTATTAAATGAATATTCCACCCTTTTCCCCACATGGTGGCCAAAGCTGTTAACAACAATTAGACAATTGGTGCAAGACACAAGTATACACAACAAAATTAAGTACAAAAGCAAAAGAATAGCAGGTACAATGAAATTACAACATGATACATCAAACATTAATCAAAAGAACTATATTAAACTTATACACCATTTTTTTTCAAGATGCAAATATATGAATCAGTGTCCAGTCTTCAAATATATGAATGAGGGTCAAAATTCCTAAGAAAGACAGTGTGAGGCAGTGTGATGTAGTGGTCTGAGCACTGAACTACAACTCTGGAGACCAGGGTTCGAAAACCTGTGGCGATGTTAGACTCTTTCAGCCTCAGAGGATGGGAAAGATAAACTCCCTCTGAACAAGAAAACAGTGATAGCTTCACCTAAGAGTCACTATGAGTCATAAATGACTTGAGGGCACACAATAACAATATACCTTAAAATGCTAGTATCCCATCTCTGAGCAGATCCATCATTATTGACAGCATCACTCCTGACTGTTCATTCACCAGTGCCTATTTGCTTGCCCTTTTCCTCCAAGCTCAATCCACATCAGCAGTTTGAGAAAGGGAAAAAGAAAGCACAGCTCTTGGCATCTGCTGGGGTTTGATTCCAAAACCCCCAGTGGGTACCAAAATCCATGGATGCTCAAGTCCCATTATATACAATGGTCTAGTAAAATGGTATCCCTTGTATAAAATAGCAAAATCAAGGTTTGCTTTTTGAAATTTATATATTTTTAGAATATATAGATGAAGAATCTATAGATATGGAGGACCATTCTGCTATGATGAAATGTACTGTATTCCTGTTTATATTTCAGGTTGAGTATCCCTTATCTGAAAATCTAAAGTCCAAAACACTTCAAAATCCAAAATTGTCCACATGAGTGGTTGAGATAATGGTCCAAAACACACTGCAGAAATAATCCAATTTGAGAACACTAACTGCCCTGGCTCAATGCTAGGGAAGCCTGTGAACTGTAGTTTATTGTGGCCTCCGAGCTCTCTAACAGAGAAGGCTAAAGACAAAACTCCAGTGCCCAGAATTACCTAGTATTGACCCAGGGCAGTTAAAGTGGTCTCTAAGTGGATTATTTCTGCAGTGTGTTTTGGACCAATGACATCTTAGTTTTCTGATGGTTCTGTTATAGGAAAAACAGACTGTGACCCACTAGCCCACAGCACCATCAGTTACTGGCAGAGCAAAAGTAAGAGAGGGGACTGAAGTCAATTTGTCAGCAGTCCCAAAAGGAATTAGCATGCCAGAATTTTGGGCCAAGAACAGAAGAAAATGGCTTCATTTTATACACTTCCAAACAAAGAAGTCTAATTCTTACACCTCATTGGTTATGTCAAACTTTAAACATATAGAATCTCAAGCAATAAGACTTCAGAATACCTTATAATCTACTTAACCACATTCCAATGCTCTCTTAATGCCCCCTTATCAGCAGAAGAGATGGTACCATGAGGCCCCTTTGCACAGAGTGCTATCAGTGATTTATTATGGCTGTACTCTGGTGTCTTGATGCACAGGGTCCTTCATTAGGTCAAACTAACTCTAAACAATCCTAAACATTTCTGCTGTTGGAATCTTCCAACATTTCATTTCTTTTCAGAGGCCACGACTCCCAGAATCCTCTCTATGTGGCTGCTTGGCATCTGTTTTCCTACATTTCTAACACAGATGCCTAAAATATATTGACTATTGAAACTTTTCCATCTCAGTTCAGTGGACAGTAACTTTGTTTCATGGACAACATTATTAAAAATATTGTACATAAAATTACCTTCAGGCAATGTGTATAAAGTGTATATGAAACACAAATGAATTCCATGTTTAGACTTGGGTCCCATCTCCAAGATATCTTATTATGCAATTCCAGAAAAATCCAAAATCCCAAACACTTCTGGTCCCAAGGATTTGGGATAAGGGAGAATCAACCCAATCAAATGTATAGCATTTAAATTTTCATTTGTAATATAGTGTATGCACACATTATACAGAGGTGTAACATGCTTTGGTGTGTGAGTGTGACAGAGCAATGGGAAGGTGGGGAGAAAGAGATCATTGGCAACTGGTTGTTTCTATAGAAATTTGGTGGTTTGTCCACTTTGGAGTCTGGTCCAAAAAGAAAAAAGAGCCAAGAAAATGGCACTCAGCAGGTTGGATAGCCTCCTTTCAAGTCTGGAGTAGAAGCTAGAACTCAACTGACATGAAAGCCAACAGTCACTGCTGTGTGTGATTACTATCCACTTTTTTGGAATTGGATAAATGTCTACAACATAGCAACAGTGAAGAAGAGGGGAAGGGGCTTTGGGGGCTTGCAGTGAGTCCTCTACAGTAATATGAATCATAGAATGATGCCCCAGTGATAAACCATGTCTTGCCCTGCCCTTCCTACCTTCATCTGAGCCTCTCTGAGCTGTACCAAAGTGCCAAATTGCTATTGAGCCTCACCTGCAGTAGAGTTGAAAAAATACAATCTACCTTGTGCCTCTCTTCTTTCTGCTGCAGGGTTGATAACAGCCTTGAGGACACAGTTTCAACTGGAAGAACAGTAGAAGGAAACAGCTAAATAACCCCCACCATACATGCACCCAGCAGTAAGACTCTGATCAAAATCACATAGGCATGCTTGCCCCCTGTCACTACTTTTAAGTTTTTAAAAGTGTCGAGAGCTTTCATTGTT